GAAGAGCGATCCAGTGGAGCAGACATCCTTTGCAAAGGCCCTGAGGTCAGGGTCTCACACGTTTGCGCACAGAACATCAGGGCCTGTGTCCCTGGAGCAGGGCTTGCCAGAGGAAGAGGGGCAGGAGATGCGTGGGATGCGGAGCGTCCTCTGGGCCTTGGAGGCCACTTTGTAGTTGGAGAAAGGGGAGCAGTCCATTGTGGCTGGATGGCCACGGTGAAGGGCCAAGCAAGCGGTGAGAGGACAGCCAGCTGGGAAGGCCGACTGCCGCCCAATTGGAAGGGGCCTGGATAGCATTATTCCAGAGCCAGGGTCGCCCCTGGTGGCCTGTGGGCCACATCTGGCTCACTAGCTTGATTGGTCTGGCCCTCGAAGTGTTTTGGTTTTGTTTTTTAAATGCTGAATCAGATGCTGTCATTTAAAACTCAGAAGATTTCACGGGAACATGCAGATTTCTGGTTCTCTTGAAACATCTAGATCTGGCCAGCGTGAACCTTCATCCCTTCCTGGTAATAAGTGACTGAAAGGTGGCATCTCTCTTTCTCAGAGTTTGGAAGTCCAGGTTCGACTCCCTCTAGACCAAGCGAAGTAGAGATGCCCATCCTCCAGCCGGTCCCCGCGGCGGGAAAGGGAGGGGGGCGCGGGTGGGAATAGGCTGGCTGCCCTCGGAGCTGGGGCTGGGGGTGGTCACTCAAAGGAAAAGCCGGCTGCGCTGACCAGAGGCAAAGGAAAAAGGTGCTGGGCAGCCAGAGCCACCGATGACGACTGCAGGTGGTTGGGGGGATATTACCAAAGTAAGACTATCCATGGCACTGGGTGACCGGGGGCCGCTTACTAGGGCTCGAGGGAAGCAATGAATTGTAGTTTGTTTTTGTTTTCAAAAGCTCTCCCACTGATTGCCCAGTCAAGGGGGTACTTGTCTGACCATTTAGGGGCCCCTAGCTTTCACTGCTTGCCCCTCCCTCCCCCAGAGACCCACGACCGCTGTGGGAGTGAGGGTGTGGCCTTTTGGTGTGAGCTTCGGGCTGGAGCTTCTGGGCAGCCCAGGGTGACGGGTCCCTCCTGGGCTTCAGCTTCAGCGTCAGGCGGTGGAACTTAGGCTAACACATCCTGAGCACCGACCGTGTCCCAGCAGCTGTAGTAGCTGTAAGGATACAAAAAAGAATAACCCCGTTCCTCCAGCTGTGGCCCCACGGGTGGTGAGAATCCCCAAGACCACCCCACCTGCATTCCAGGGAGCCTGCATTCCAGGTGATGTACGGCCGGGCCCTGAAGCCCTGTGGTTAAGCCTGGGAAGTGTGTGGTGGGGGAGAGGTCCTCTTGTAGCGTCTTCTCCTTCCGTCCACTGTCCACATAGTACAGCGTCATATAGAAATTGCTCAAGGCTGCTGGGCCCACGTCCCCTGGACCCGGCCTCCTGGTTTCGCCAGGTCCTGGGCTGATGTCATTGCAGGGTTTAGGAGGCTGCAGTGGGGATTCTTCCTGACCGCTGCCCAACCCCTTCCTTCCTTCCTTCCTTCCTTCCTTCCTTCCTTCCTTCCTTCACACCTGTTGTTTTGAAGAGAGCCTGGGGAAGAAGTCGCAGCTCAGAGGTCCACGGTACCTCCTGGGGCGGCTTCCTGCAAAGCCTGAGGGCCTTTTCCGAACGGCGGATGGACTTGGTGAAACTGCTTTAAGTTACTCAGGGAACATAATTCTTCCCAAGCTCTCCTGCCACCCCCAAGCCCAGCACACACCCTCAGGGTGAGTCTCCCTCCTCACACAGGTTCCTCTTCCCCTCCCTCCACACTCTATGCTTCAGTCAACTGTCCACCCTAGAATTTCACCATCTCCCAAAGGAGGGGAAGGGAAAGTGGCCCGGGGCCTTGGGGTGCCGCCCCCCCACTCTGCACTGCCTGGCTTGGCGGAGTGAAGAGCTCTCTGCTCCCCGTCGCCTCAGGTCCTCTGCTGGGTGTCCCCCAGTCGTTCAGACCCTGGGGAGAGAGAGGATCGGGCTGCGGACCTTCATGCTTTCTTCTGGGGCTTCTCCTGCTCGCCTCACACTTGGAGTTCCATCCTTTTATTTCTCATCTTACAGAGAATGCCCTTTAAACAACATTATAGAAACAACCAAGTAGCAATAATCTTAGCATGGAAACAAACCACTGTCAATATTTGGGGTACCTCGTTTGAATTTTTTATTTGAATTTTTAACGGTGAGTATATCCTCATAGACAGTTCATTAAACAGTATTTCAGTATTATTGAAATAACGCGTAGCTGGAATGCACAGTGCTTCCATCATTACCGTATTCCCTTACTTTGAAAGTTTTCTAAATCACCACTTTCAAACATGAGTATGACCTGGGATATTGTTAGAAAGCAGATTATGATACGGTGGGTCCGAGAAGGGTCCAAGATTCTGCATTTCTAACAAGCTTCCAGGTGATGCCACTGCTGGGAGTCCAGGACCCAGCATCGAGGAGCAAGAGCCCTGAAGCTCTGGGCCGGCCTTCCAGGGGAGGTGCCGTCAGCGAGTGGGTTTGGACAAGTGGATAATGACACGTATCCACCGTTACCATTACCGTCTCATACAGAAGAGTTTCACCATCCTAAAATCCTCTCTGATTGACCTTTTCCTCCCTTCTCCGCCTGAACTCCTGGCAACCACTGATCTTTTTACTATCTCCGTAGTTTTGCCTTCTCCAGGATGTCATATAGTTGGATTCGATTCTTTCAGTAATAGTTTTCCCAAGAACCCTCCTGTATCCAAAAGCTTCTACAAAGCATTTGGCCTTTCTCATTTGAAGCATGAGATCCTTTTAATGCTTCCCCACACATCCCTCCCTGCCCTGCTGGGACTCAATGTTTTTATCTCCAATCCCGTGCTCTTGGGCCGAGGTATAACATAGTTTGATGTCACGACAGCAAAGTCACACAGATCTTGTTTCAAGTTCCAGCCCTATCGCTTAGTCACTCAGCCTTTGAGCCTCAGTCTTCTCATCTGTAAAATGAGCCCACGTTGAGGCAGGAGTTGATGAGCCAGCACACACAAATGGTCCGGGTTGTCCCTGACACGTAAAAAGCACCAGTATGTGGCTGCCGGGGTGACAGTGACCTTTTCCTTTGTGTTCTGCAATTGGCTGAGGAGGAGGTCACCAGTCTCCTATGACAACTAGCACTGTGCCTGTCTGCCTGTCCCTCGGGAGGTCCTTCGCATTTCACAAATGGAGGAAATTGGGGTGAGACGGGAGAAGACCAGGCAGGGACACCAAGCTCAGTGGCAGTGTGGGCTGGGGGGCTGCAGGTTGGTGGGAAGACACACACGCACACCCCTACCCCTCCTGAGTTCCTGGGGCCTTCAGCCAAGCATGGAAGCCTCCAGGTGGCTTCACGAGCAGGAGCTCAGCGCATCTTAGCGCATCTTTTCATCTCTTCTCTGGCCTCTTGGTTCCCTCAGTGGCACCAGAATTGAGAGGGGAGCTGAATTCTCGCTCCACCGTGATCCCCTTACACTTACATTGCCTTTCCAGAAGAATGTGCCAGAGACCTATGCACTTCCATTTAAGGCAGTCTTTACAAGCACCAGCCCTTCCAGATTTGTGAACCAGACTCAGGGTCAGCAAAGCCACATCCTCCTCCTTGGGGGTAAGGGAAGTCCAGGTCACAGCGCAGGTATCCCTGAAGTGTCCTAGAAAATCCAGCTTCTGGCAGGCCCATGACTCTGTGTGTGTGTGTGTGTGTGTGTGTGTGTGCGTGTGCGTGTGCGTGTGTGTGTGTGTGTCTGTCTGTGTATCTAGGCTCAAACCTCAAAGAACTCCCTTGATCAGTAATGACTACATTTTGGTTGTCATGAAAATACAGTTGCAGCGTGTCTGCTGTACACCCAACTACAGCATGGTCTGTGCGTGTGTAAGCACACTTGTGAGTTTACACAAGTGCGATTGTAAAGGGAATCATCTAGAATTCTGGAGAAAAACTGAGTCTACTCCAAGCCACCTCAGTGAGCACAGCGTCCTGCTTAGAGGGAGGACGGTAAAAACAATTAGACCCCTGCTCAGACATTGAGATACAGTTTTACCTCAGTTAAGGGAGCACAGGACAGCAAGGGATCCAGCATGGGCGAAGCGGAGCCATTAGTGCCTGAGCCTTGGGCCTCAGTTCAGAGCTGCCGCATGTGAGGCCGCTGCCTCCACAGGCCAGTAGAGGGCACAGGAGACTGCATGTGCGGGCCCGGGGGCACCTCCAGGGACTGCATCCTGGAAGGAACCCTTCTGGGCCTGCAGCCGGGGCAGCCATGTGCTCAGCCTTGCACTTCATGCTATCACACGTGCCGGGGGCGCGAAGGACGGAGCCAGTGGCGGCGCCATGAGCAGGGGCACGTGTGGTGATCAGCCCACCGCCAGATGGGTCTGCCTGCACATTGCCTCTGGGAAGTATGTCAGCTGCCACCAACAGCAGCCCCAGGACAGCCCTTGAGGGGACCTGCAGGCACTAACAGGGACAGGGACTCTTGTCATCTTACCTGTTGTGTTTGTCCCCAAAGCCCATTAGAAAAGAGGTGCACAGCCTGCCACATACTGAGATTGGGCTGGTCAGGCCCGCGCTTCTGTTTTGTAACTGACGTATGCACAGTCAGAACGGTCCAAATCTTAGGTCTGGCTTCCCAGGGTGACTCATGGGCAGGACAGCACTCAGGACACTGTTTGTAGAAATCGCTCTTGTTACTTCGTAGTTAACTTGTATGTTAGAAAAGTCTGTGTTTATTTTGTTCTGTTTGTATAGTTTTTTCAAATGCCAACAATGCCAGGTGGGGAGCCCAGGCAGCAGAATGCACGATGCCAGAGCAGGTCTTGGGCCTCATTTACATACCACTTGATCTGTACAGGTCCCCTGGGGGAGCTTGAGAAAATGCTTCACAGGCCAAGAATGTCCAACCCCCCTAATAAATAAATATAGGCTCACAAGGCTGAGCCCCTCCTCCCACACTGCCCAGTGCGAGTCAGTGAATTTCTGGAGCCTGTTAACCATCGTGGCGTGGAGCTGAAAGAGGTTGCGTGGGGCCCTGGGTTTTCCTTTTATGACGTGCCCTCTGTGGCCTTCATTTGAGTGCCCACTGTGTGCTGGGCATCGTGCCAAGTGCAGGGCTCTGTGCTGAGACTTTGCAGAAATTAGCCCGTTCAGCCCCTATGCCCGCTGATATAAGCCCCAGTAGTATCTCCATTTGCTGATGAGAACACTGACACTTAGAGTGATGAAATGGCTCGCCCAGAATGGCCTGAGATTGGCTCAGCCGGCCCCAGAGCCTGAGTTCCTGACCACTTACCTTTATATCCAAATCTTTAGTCCGTGTCCTAGACCTGCACCGTAGAAACTCATCCCCATTTCACAGAAGAGGGCGCCAAGGCTCTGGAGTTGGCCTGACTCGGCCAAGGCACCCAGCTAATGAGTGGCAAGGCCAGGATTCCGATTCTCCTGGTCCCCGTGTGCCAGGCCACCCCTCGGAGCGGTTCTCTTAGCCCCTCAGCTCCTCCCTGCCCACAGCTCTGGCCTGCAGCTGCACGGGTTATTTTAATCTCTCCTGTCATTCCAGCCAAACCACTGGGAAAGTGAGTCAGGCACACAGTTAGGGGAGGAAGGGTACTGCTGGGAGCCCACAGTGGAAAAGTTTCTCCAGGGGCGGACCTGCAGGCCCTGCCGTACCCCTGAGCAAAGGGAAGGGGGCCCACCCGTGGATCTGGGCAGTCACTGCCCTGCATGAACCACCAGCCCTCTCCCCACAGCTTGGGAATAACGGTCAAGAAGAGCTCACCTCTGAGTGACTTGGCCTCCTTTGTCCCCTCCACCTAGGTGTCAGCTGTGCCCACCGTGCTGGCCATCAAGAATGGAGACGTGGTGGACAAGTTTGTGGGCATCAAGGATGAGGACCAGCTGGAGGCCTTCCTGAAGAAGCTGATTGGCTGACAAGCAGGGAAGCGTCCTGACTGCCCCTGCCCGCCTGGGCCCCCTGTTCCCGTGGGGACCCCGATAGCACTCACAGCCCTTCTGTGCCAGCCCTTCCTGCCTCCTCCCTCTCTGGCCCCTCTGGGCCCGTGCTTTGGAGACCAGGCCTCCAAACACAGGAGCCTCAAGTGCTCCCACCCCGGCTGACCGCCAGGGTGGCTGCCCAAGGAGCGGTGCCGCCGCCGAGCTGGGACAGAGTCCCAGGGCCAGCCTGCAGTAACAGCTTGGTCTCCCTACTCCCTTCTGATCTGAGCCCCGGTGCCTGGCTCATCTGCCTCCTGCATTTTTCTTTCCTGCCGCTGTTTTGTAAAAAGAAGAAGGAAAAAAGAAACCCAAACAAATGAGAGTAAAATATACACGATTCCCTCCTTTTTTGTAGGTCTGTAATGAGAACTTTATGTGGTCCCGTCTACCTCCCGCTGTGAAGAACAGACCCTGGGCCCTGCACTAGCTTACCGTGTCCACCCCCCACCCCCACCCCCTAAAGAGCCACCTCCCTCTTTCCTCCCAGGCGCCGGGGCAGTGGACGTGTGTTGGGCCGGGGGCATCCTGCAAACCCTTGCCTCTGAAAGGCTCGAGACACTACCCTCCTTTACCATTATCTGGCCCTTCAGTTCTCCGAGCGGGAGGCTTCACAGAAAGAACTGGACCAATAAAACTAGGGTTTGCACTGTCGACGGTTTCCATTCTGTCTGGGCCCTGGGAGCACGGTGGCCCCTTCCCAGGCTCTGCCCCTGTTTTCTCCTCTGACTCCCACAGCCCTCTTGCCCTTGACCAGCCCCTCCTGTGACTAATACCAGTTTCAGTGGTGGCCACTGTTCTGAAGATGCCTTTACATACAAGTAAGGCAGAGGGGTGTTGTCCCCATTATGCAGATGAGGACACAGAGGCTGTCAGGGTGCAGAGCCCAGGTTTCTACCCAGAGCTGGTTGCCTCTGCAGCCTGAGCTCTTATAACTGATCCTCGGGGGGCCTCTTCTGCTGACGGGCCCACACTCCTGCAGAAGCCTGGCCTGCCCCTCTCCCCACCCCAGCCCATTGGGAGGTGGGCTGTCCTTCCTGTGTGTGTGCGCACAGGAACTCCGAGGCCTCAGGGCCAGGCTCTCTGCCCCTTCTTGTTCCCAGCCCCAGCCTTGGCCCGTGGAGGAGGGTGCCAGGCACACCAGGCTTACCAGCTGGGAAAACCCACCCCTCCTCTTCCTCATGTGGCCAAGCTGCCCTTTGGCTCACTTGCCCAGCTGAGATGCCCGCTAGCTAGGTGCCAGGCGACAGGGGTATCCCGGCACCCTTCCCTTTGGCCCTGGGGTGCTGTGTGCACTCTTCTCAGTGTCCTTGGTGTTCCTATTGGAACTGCCCTGTGTTAACGCAGGGTCTTTGAGGGGTCAGCCCCAGGACTGCCTTGGGAAGGCTGCTGTGACTGGCGCCAGAGGGTGGAGTTGGCTCAGAAGCAGGACCTGTGGGCTCTGGAAGGCTGCGGGCCTGGGATCTGTCACAGGCATATGGAAGGGAAGTAAACCAGCAACTGGCGTTCGTGGAGAAAGGCCAAGAGCTATGTGTAGGATGAATAAGAACAGCCAGTGCTCAGAGGGCACTTCCTGGGCGCCAGGCCCTGTTCTAAGCACCGCCCCACCCCCCAGCAGCCCCACAAGGCAAGCACTGATCATCGCTCCCGTTCACGCACGAGACCCACTCGGAGGGTGGGGACGTCGTCCAAGACACAAAGTCCACAGGCACCTGGGCTGGCCCTGCGCCTGCACCTCCCCCGTCGCCTTACAGAAGGTAGCGCGTGATCCTAATCTCAACCGCTGGCTGACAAGGCAGCTCACGTTATAGAAGAGGCACTGATGCAGAGTTGAGTAACTCAGAGACGCCCAGCGAGGAAGGGTTGGGGCGAGAATTCAGAGCCAGCCGGGCAGCCTGAGTCCCGAGCCCGGCCGATCCTGCTGTCCTCTGCCGCTCCTTAAGAGGTGCCCACTGCCAAGCACTTTGCATATGCACTGCCTTAGTTCCTCTCTTCTCTTGCAAGGCAAGAATTATTTCCATGTTACAGGTGAAGGCACTGGTTCCAGGAAATTGACTTGCCCAAGGTCACGTCTGAAAAGCGCCATGCCGGATTTGAACCCAGGTGGGGATCTGGCCCCGGGCAGGTGTGGAGAAGGGCTGGCAAAGGCATCTGAGCTGTCTGGAGCGCCCTCTCCTTAAAAGGTGTGCTGCGGGGCGAGGTGAGATGGTGCTGCCGCCTCAGCTGGCTTCTCCGCCTGTGAGGCTGGACGCGGCATGAGTCACTGGCTGTGAGTGCAGGATCCTCAGGGTGATCCCATCTGACTAATTCCACGGCGCTGATCTCACCAGGACACCGCTGCCTCTGCATCGTCGGCCCCACCGTTGCCCTCTGGGTGCCTCGGGCTCCTGGGCCTGTGGAAGAGGGGTTGGCAGTGCAGCTGTGGGGCCTGGCAGCTCTGCTGGGGTCAAGGGGACACCCCCCGCCCCTCTGAAGCACAGATATGTGCAAAGCCCAGGAAAGGGGGCACAGCCACGGGCTCCCCCTCAGCCCCGAGACGTCCTGGGGTGTGGCTTCTGTACACTTATTCTCGTGATACCAAGTTTATCCAGTTGATCCGGAGGTGGGGGGGCAGAGGTGGAAGCTTCAGTTTGTAGAGTTTATGTTCTCTCCTGTGACCCCTGCAACTCCCCTGCCAGGCAGTTCTCCCCATTACACAGATGAGGAAACAGCGCTGAGTGACATCAGCAGAATGGCCGAGACCCTGTTCCAGGTGGGAATGCTCACTACCAAAGAGGCTTAGCAGGTCTTAGAAACATTTGGATGGAAGAATGGTGGTCACTACCGTGGGTTCCCTCTACGCCGATGAACATGGGAGGGAAACTGACCACAGCCCCAAGAAGCTCACGCTCTAAGACAACAGAGCAAAGGGCAGCGGGTCACCCTAAATGAACGTCAGAGCGCGAGGGGGCCTGGGGGGTTCCTCTAGATTCTGAGAAGGGCATGGGGATGGGGAGGCTTGCCCAGGTTGCAGCATGTTTGTGACGGGGACCTGAAGCCGAGTGCCCTGACTCCAGCCAGCCCTAAAATGAAAATGAGTCACGGCCTTTTCTTCCCTGGGCTCCAGGAGCGGGAGCGAGGAGGGCAGCCGTGTCTCTGAGAAGGGCAGTCTCCGGGGTCAGGATCTGAGGTCAAGGGCATGTTACTGGGGCCGCGCCAGTGCCCTCCCCAGCACGCCCTGCCTGGGGCTCGGGGCTCGGGGCCAGCTCAGCCCCTACCCCAGCTGGCTGGCGAAGGCTTCTCCGGAAAGTGAAGGTAGTTTGGCCAGGCTGCCGGAAACCCCTAATGTTCAGCCCCTGGGCTGAGAGGGTCCAGAGAACAATGTCGGCGGAGGGCAGGATGCTGCGGACAAGCCGGGCTTCCAGGCATGCTGCCGCAGTTCCTCTCCGCTGCCTGGAACACCGGCTGCAGGTGTGACCCCGAACCCCAGTCCGTAGGCTGGCTTCCATGTCTCTGCCGGAAATCTGGGAGCCTCCCCTCTTCAGCCACCTCCTGACAGCCTTTTGGAAGCTGGGGGCCACCATCAGCCTGTCCACAGTGGTGTAAGTAGGGCCGGAAGAATCATATCTGGGTTCAGACCCTGAACTTGCCACCCACCAGTGGTGGGCATCACCATTCTGAGGCTCAGTTGTCACATCAGCAAAATGGGGATGATGGTGGCTAGCGCTCGCTGAGCGTGTGTCACCTGTGCCATCTCACCGAGCCCTCACAAACACCCAAGGAGGTAGGGGCTATCATTCTCACCATTTTACAGATGAGGAAACTGAGGCCAAGAGAGCTTAAGTAACTCAGCATGAACAGGTGTCAGAGCTCAGACCTGAACTCAGATGTGTTTGATTCCAAAGTCTCTGTGTTCTTACCCATTAGCTATACTATTTTGTCTTTGGAGCAAAGTTTTCCACCATTTTGAGCCTCGATTGCACCATCTGCAAAGTGGGGCTAATAACAATCACCACAAAGTGGGGCTAATAACAATCACCACGGAATGAGGTCATCCTGAGGATTAAACATGCTGGTATACCCAGCAGGCTCTTGAGAAATGTCCTTTGCTTTGCTTTTCCCCTCCCCCCAGCTTCCCCCAACTCTAAGCTACATCTTAAACAGGAAACACCAGATTTCCCGAGATAAGAACCCCAGCACCTCACAATGGGAGGGGCCGATTGTGGTGCCAGGCTGTGGGTCTTGTATTTATCTGACTCTGTGTCCTGGCTCTGACCCCCACCTCCACCCCCTCCTGCTCTAGAGCTAGGCTCAGTGGTGCCTGTGGCTCCGGCAGCCTGGGGAGCTAGGTGGTGACTTCACCCTTGGAGAATGCCCACTGGAATTCACCCTGAGTCTGGTCCCCTGTTCTCCATGCCTCCCAGCCACGTCTGACTGGCCTCTCGCTCAGCCTCTGAGCCAGCTGTCCACACACAGCCACGTATGGGAGCACCTTTTGTGAGCAAGGGTGCCACTGTTACACAGTTGCTGATTACCGACTGAGCTGGCTCCCCACCTTTAGCCAGCATCCCGGCTGACCACAGGGAAGTAGCTGTCCGTCTGTGGTCCACTGCCTGCCTCAGCGTCCGGCAAGCAGGCAATCCGGCATCGGTTCCTTTGTGTCCCACCCTGCCAGGTATGCCACCCACATCTAAGCCCCCAGCACCCACCTGAGGTAGCAACTCTTGTTACCATTTCACATATGAGGAAACTGAGGCCCAGAGAGGTGGTGTGATGTGCCCAGGACACACCCTGGGAAAGGAGGGTGGGGTGGCCCGACCCAACCCCTCTACCTCTCCCTTTGCCACTGTGCTGCCCCCAGGGGGGGTCATAGGATCCCTGTTCTCATGCCAAGAGTGGGGACTTTGGGCGTCTCTTTCATCTGCCCCCCCCCCCCCCCAGTCCCCGGGCAGGTGGCGGAAGATTCCTTTGCTTAGGATCTACTGCTAAGGCTGGAATATTCTCTCCAGTCCCAGCATGGCAGCTCCATCCCCCCAACCTCAGCCAGCCAGTGTGTGTGGATGCCTCTCTGGGCTGCCTGGTGCTAGGAGTTAGA